CATTTATTACACGTACCATTATCACTAAAGGAGGCAGAGGAGTAACTGAACATCTGACACAGAGAGCAGGAGAGAGGAGAAGACTCAGAGAGAGAAACAGCAGAATGGGTAGCCATGGTGGAGCTAAAGGTAACGCTAAGCTAGCGACCCCTTACCACTACTAGAAAAAACGTATAAAACACGGAGAGTCCCCAAACGTTAAAAGTAGCAACAGAAAGTAAGTGTTTTAACGTGCTTACGTATTACAACAAGTAAGAGATATCACAGTAGAGAGAAATCAGATCAAACGAGAGAGCCTTCACACACCAAACAATTCACCAACAGCGAAAACAGGAAGTGACGTTACCCCTGGTTTAAGGCAACCAGATGGCAGGATTTGGAGAACCGGTGAGGTGCCGCGTGAAGGAGGTAAACCTGTGACGAAATCCAGTGCGATATGTGACCAGGGACGTTTGGGTATGGGTAATGGTTGAAGCAGCCCAGCAGGCAGCTGATGAGAGGGCTTACTTCGGGCGCAGATGGTACAGGCGCCCACAAACCCCTTAACATCATTGTGGAGGGTTGGCCACCAGAAACGGCAGGTGATTAGAGCAATGGTGTGGGAAGAACCCGGGTGTGCAGAGAACCTAGAGGCATGAAACCACTGAATCAAACGGGAACAGACAGACAGGGGGACATAAGTCTCCCTGTTTGTCCGTGGAATATATGTACCTGTGGAATATATGTACCTGACTTTTGTGAAGTGCCTTGAGACGACATGTGTTGTGAATTGGCGCTATATAAATAAACTGAATTGAATTGAATTGAATTAAGTCTTATTGGGAGGACAGTTGCTGGGACCAGGGTCAACACGTGAGGCTTGGGTTACGAGGTTGTCAATCTCCCAGGTTAAGGCGCTGATCTTGCAGCTAGGTGGTAAAATAGTGTTCGTGGCATCATCAGAGACGTTTGGAGAGAATTGACGGGACAGAGCATCTGGTTTTACATTCTTAGACCCAAGACGGTAAGAAATAGTCAGATTAAACCTTGAAAAGAATAGAGACCACCGGGAATGTCAAGGGTTCAGTCTCTTAGCTGACTGGAGATACGACAGGTTTTTGTGATCCGTCCAGACCAGTACTGGTTGTGTAGAGCCCTCCAGCCAGTGACGCCACTCTTCCAAGGCAAGTTTGATAGCCAAGAGTTCACGGTCGCCCACATCATAATTCCTTTCAGTGGGTGTCAATCTGTGGGAAAAATAGGCACAAGAGTGGAGTTTAACATCCACTTCAGAACGTTGGGACAACACAGCTCCCACCCCCGATTCTGAGGCATCAACCTCCAGGATGAACTGTTTGGACGGGTCAGGTTGGAGCAGAATGGGTGCCTGTGCAAACCTCTCTTTTAAGGCTATGAAAGCAGCATTGGCTTCAGGAGGCCAAGTGAAGGCTACCTTAGCAGAGGTTAGGTTAGTTAGAGGAGCTGCAAAACGACTGAAGTCCCTGATGAAGCGACGGTAAAAATTAGCAAAACCCAGGAAACGTTGCAGTTGCTTCCTGGAGTCTGGTACAGGCCACTCAAGAACTGCTATGATGTTAGCAGGGTCGGGACACAACTGACCACTCTTCAGGACAACCCCTAAGAAGGACACAGTGGACTGGTGAAACTCACATTTTTCGGCCTTAATGAACAATCTGTTTTCTAATAGCCGTTGAAATACTAGGCAGACGTGGTTCTGATGTTCGGTCAGGTCTTTGGAAAAAATAAGTATATCATCAAGATATACGAAGACAAAAATATTCAGGAAATCACGTAGAATGTCATTCACCACAGCCTGAAAGACCGCTGGAGCATTGCAAAGTCCAAAAGGCATTACTAAATACTCAAAGTGCCCTAAGGGAGTCGTGAACGCAGTTTTCCACTCATCCCCCTCTCTAATGCGTACCAGATGGTATGCGTTGCGTAAATCAAGTTTAGTAAAAATAGTTGCCCCTTGGACTGGTTCAAAAGCAGCTGACAAGATAGGAAGAGGGTATTTGTTTTTGATACTGATGGCATATAAACCCCTATAATCAATACACGGCCGCAGAGACCCATCTTTCTTACTAACAAAAAAAAAAACCCTGCTCCTAGTGGCGAAGAGGAGTGTCTGATTAGACCAGCAGCTAGAGACTTGGTAATATAATCCTCTAAAGCTTGACATTCCGGACGAGAAATGGGATATAACCTGCTGGCGGGTAAGGGTGCTCCAGGAAGCAGGTCAATTGCACAATCATAGGGGCAGTGTAGTGGTAAGGATAGGGCTTTCTGCTTACAAAACACCTCCCTCAGGTCGTGATACACAGTAGGCACATCAGACAACTCACAGGGGTCAGCCTCCTCGTGAACCGCCGGCGCAGCAGCTGGGGGAACGGCCAACTGCAAACAGGAGGAGAGACAAAATGAAGATCAGGAGTGGACTCTGGACCTGGACCAGTCCAAATGTGGGTTATGCCGCTTCAACCAGCTAAACCCCAACACGATAGATGATTGAGAAATGGGGAAAACATAAAAAGAAATGGTTTCACGGTGATTACCTGAGAGCACTAGTTGAATGGGTCGGGTTCGGTGTGTGATACGGACGAAGTCTTTTCCGTCCAAGGCAATTACTCTAAATGGTGTGGCGAGTACTTCGGTAGGGAGTCCTAATTGATCCACAAGCCCACTATCAATCAGGTCCCGCTCACACCCAGAGTCTATAAGGGCTGACAGATCATAGGTAGAATCTTGCAACAAAATCTTAGCAGACAGGACTAAGCGGGGAGGCGAGGGTGAAGAGTTTTGGTCTGTCAGGCTCCTCGACATCACTGACGGACCCGATCTTTTGGTTGAACTGGGCAGGTGACTAGAAAATGTTCAGGTGAGTCACAGTACAGATAGAGATTTGCCCTTCTTCTCCTTAGCCTTTCCTCAGCCGTGAGGTGGGCACGGCCCATCTGCATGGGTTCGGACTCCTGAGACAAACTAGATGACATTGTGGGCTGAGGGGGCCCAGAGAAGTTAGGGGCGGCACCCCTGCCGGTAGATGTTCTTTCAGCTCGAAGCCTTCTCCTTTCTCTGAGACGGTTGTCTATACGTATGGCTAGGGCGATAAACTCATTTAGAGGTTTAGGTTCATCCAAAACTGCCAATTCATCCTTCAAAGGTTCGTTTAATGCATGGAAAAAAGCTGTCTTTAAAGCGCTAGAATCCATTATTTTATCCCTATTTTAAAGAGCCCTAGATTCCCACAACTATCTTCCCCAGACACCTTCTGGTTCCACCAAGGAACAAGACACAAGGCACAGATGAGATAAAATTTCTTTTAAAAGTCCTGGGTGGGGCACGTCGCTGATGGTGTAGGGGTGAAGCACGCGACCATGTGCAGAGGCTGTAGTCCTCAAGGCGGCTGTCCCGGGTTCGAGTCCCGGACCCAGTGACATTTACCGAATGTCTCCCTCTCTCTCTACCCCTTTCCTACCTACTGTCAAAAAATACAAAATAAAGGCCACTAGTGCCGAAAAACATATCTTAAAAAAAAAAAAAGTCCTGGGTGTTTCAATTTCTTCCTAGGGAACATATCCCTAACACTTTCCATGGTACAAACATTTGCATGATTTACATAAGGAGACATATTAGTAAAACAATTGATGTTTTTAAAGTAAAATAACTGTCATGTGATGGATTTATTAGGCCGTTTATATGCTAGTATTTGTGACAATTGTTATAGTTATGTCGGGTTCGGCTCTGGTGCAAGCAACAATTACAGACACGCTTGACTGTTTTAAGTGATTTGCTGAGAAACACAAGGTAGGGAACTTTAGGGTTCTACACCAGGGTCTGGATGAACACTGGAAGGAGAAGGGAAGTATTAGCTAGAGGTGAGGTTATGTTGAATGTGGAATTGAGTGACAGGTTGAAATAGCGGCTTACTGTTTGATAAGGATGGAGGTCCAGGGAAGGTGAGTAACTGTCTCAGATTGACATCCGGACTGTGTTTAAGAGGTTGCGCTGGCAGAACATTAGTTTGTCCTTCTCCAGAGTGAGGCTGATGGATGAGCCACAGCAGACTGAGGCTGGATGGGCAGGAGAGCGATGCAATGGCGTGGCTAGGACCCAGGAGGACAGAGGTGCAGTGAGGAGACTAGAAGCAGCGGTACAAGGAAGGATCTTCTTGGAAGTCCTCGAGACGGAGGAACACCAGCCACCGAACCCGACACAGGCTGTGGTAAATGGCTTCTGGAAGCAAGAAGACAAAGGTATGATCAGAGATTGAAATTCTTCATGAAGATGTCAGCAAGACCTGGCCTGATTACAGTGCTATGTGAACTAACAATCTGGTGTCTCTCAGGGAGAATCCCTGCTCCTCAACGAGCAGCAGCTGTGGAGCCTGCCAGTCGCACCCTGCTGGAGAGATGAGAGAGGACAACAGAAGAAACACAACACAAACCTGTACACAGACAACTATATTCTAGTATATATAACTATGTTGTAATGGTGTGGGAATTCAATTTCACATACTTTTGTATTTACTATTCCAATCTCCTCTGTGATCAGACATTACAGACTGGCATTGGGGTCATAACTATCTCGATTCATCTGGAATTATGTCCCCAGATAACTTCTACCTTAACATAAATTAACCCAAAATGGCCTTGAGTATTTGTTTAATACTGCTTTTTCTTTAATGATAAAAACTGCAGGAGAAGCATCACCCATCCAATCACCTTTATCACAAAGCTTAATCCTGGTGTCATAAAGAGCTCTCTAAAACATCTTTACCTGCTCTCAGACAACAAAGAGAAAACAGATGGCAAAGGGGTAAGGAATAAAAGTGGCATGATTAGAAACAAATTTGAGAGAAATGTTAAAAGAAAAAAGAAACAGACAGAGAAATGAAAAGGTGAAGACAGAAAAGCTGATTATTGATGCGAAAGCTAGGAAAAGCCACTGTGGTAAAGTGAATTAGCTTCAGTGGATAAGGAGCTCTGTACTTGCTGCCAATTTCACTAATCCCACTTACGTCTGGCTGGAAAAGGCAGTGAGCGTATATGTATGTGGGAGTGCCATTGTAGGCAAAGTCTGCACATCAGCTCTCATATGGTCATATGTCACTGCAGGAACCCATATGTTGTGTGTGGGAGCATGCATATGAATATATGTTTATGCTGTGTGTGTGTATGTGTGTGCCTTCAGTGCCAACCAGCTTTTAGACTGATGAAGTTGTCACACATATAACCAAAGCAGCCGATGGCTACTGTAAAGCTTCATGACTTAGTTTGGAGGATTGTCAGTATGGGATAAGGACTTCATATATCCTGTTTTTGGCAAAAGATGGAATAAAATGATGTCCAACAACAAAAGCAGGCCATCATTTTATAGCTCTAGTTTAAGTAAAAGCCTTAAAGGATGGTATTGAGTGGTTTAACCCAATTACTCAAACATTCCTGTATGTCCCAGTTAATGCAGTCATAGAGCTAGGCATTCTGTTAAAGTTACAGACAACAACCTGTGGAAATATTGATGAATTACCAGCTCCTGATTAAGCTGCACTTTATTTGTGCTGCCATACAGAGATGTTGCACTCATGATACATGATAGAAAGATTAGGAATATCATCTTCAGAATTAGACTCTTATATAGCTGCTGCATCTAATTTACAAATAGACACTAAATTGATATTGTCTGCCTATAAGTATTTAGGTGTCTTTTGATTTGTACTCAGAAGTCCAGATTCTGACATGGAAAGTTTTAAGTTCCAGAGCTCCCAGAATTAAATATGGACAATAGCTGCTGTAGGCATGAAACTTTGTTGGTGATGCAGGAAAAAACTTTTAATTGGCACTTCTGACCAGTTGTATCACATCCAACGTGGTGCACATAATGCTGTAAAATCTATTTGTAAGCATGTTGTTTTAATGTTTGAATTAATTTATCAGCTTGTTTTATTTACAGGTGCTGGTCATAAAATTAGAATATCATGAAAAAATTGATTTATTTCAGTAATTCCATTCAAAAAGTGAAACTTGTATATTATATTCGTTCTGTTGGGACCCACAGCCATGAGTTACAACAGGAAATGCGATACGGACTTTTCTGGAACTTTCAAAATAAATTGCATTAACCTACTTCCGGCATAACTTAGGAATTGGGGGTAACAGCGGACTTCCTGTGACATCACTGCCCAAATAAAAGCACCGCTCTTGCTACATCCGGCCTCTTCCACTGCTCCTCTGCGGGACCGGGATAGGGGAGGCCCAGCATGCTAATGTCTCTTTGCTGGCAAACAGACATAACTCAAACTGGATCCAAGGGTGTCATAAGATCACGCAATCATATGCACAAGTTAAGTACTGATGACTTACTGTTGAAAGAATCCGGTATTCATTCATAAAAGGGAGATTAAGGTATAAGCATTGCTTTACTTTCTCTCTGAGGCCTGCAGAAGCAAACTGTGTTCCAGAGTTCCCTGCAGAGACGCGGTCTCT